GTGATGTAAACACCCTATTTGAGGACCCTTTTTGCTACCAGAGTGCTCTTAGACTGAACAAGAGCCAGGGCTCATTGTTTCCAGCTTTTGGCATTCCTTACCTTGAACTTTCAAAATCCATCAGGACTGAAGGGTTCTCCCCCCTCTCCTTAAATTTTCATTTTACAAAACACTCATCAGTTTGCCATTCCAGCTCTTAAAATTAACTGTATTACACTTAACACTGCTGAGTGCTTTGAATAGTATAGAAACAGGGAGTTTAATAGTATAGGAATGCTCCACCTCTGAGGTTTGCCCTGTGTAAGAACTGGATACCTGGATTCAAAACCTGTGAGAAGCTGGGTCATTTTTTATTTGTCTCTAGCTGCCAATTAGCAATGTTCATTAATCCACTGCCTAGGAGAAGTGCATGATTAAAATAGACAGTGTCACTGACCACTGACAAGACAATATGCAGAAGGCTGTGCTGTAGCTGCCTGTCATTGTGCTGCTGTAGTTAGAGCTCGGTCTCATTTTCCAGGGGGAAGTAAGAATTTCTTAGTTTCTTTGCATCCTGGTGTAAAGACAGACACATCATCCGGGCTTTGAACATTGCATTGCATTGTGCCCTGGGCAGGGAGCCTGCAGCAGACCCTGGGATTGCTTGTGCACCACCTGCCAGCCGCTATCGGACAAGTTTGGTTAGAGAACACGTTGTGTCCACAGTCACTGCAAATGTCCTTCGCCCACAGAGTCATCCAAGGCTCCTTGGGGGCGGCAGATTTGAATTTTGCCTCCTCAAGGATGAGTATCTGAAGCTGGGCCAAAGCTTTGTTTCCTGCTGGTGAGAAAAGAGGGAATGGGGAAGGAGGCGTGGGAGGGCTTGAGGGGTCAGGGTTGATGTGCTGCTCCGGGGGCAGCAGGAAGGGGCTGGTGGTGCATGGCTGCTGCCAGGAAAGGCTAACCTCTAGCTCGAGACCACAAACCCTTGGTGGCAGTGGCCAGCTTGGTTTTCCAAGGCCACAGATAAAATAAGCAATGACCTAGGACAGCAGACAGTGGAGGAGACAGAGGGGCACAGTCCTGCTGCCTGCTCCCTGGTGTGTTGGACAGAAGAAATTTTGTTCTGTAGTGGGAATTGCACTCTTGTTTGCTTGCTTAAGTAAAAGATGACCAATGCTTTAATTTATACTCCACCTGGGGATCAAATCTCTAAGTAAGACCAAAAGGTTCTTTTCCCCCAGGTCTCACTTTTGAGGGAAGGAAATTTCCATGACAGAGGATGAAATACTAGGAATACTTTTCTTAGGTGGATCTTCCAGCTTCTGGTTTGTAGCCACACTAATTTGTGGGTGAAGGAAATATTTTGGTACTGAAAACTTGCCAAAAAGCTGTTTAACAGGGAATTGCAGTTTAATTAGCACTTATGAGACATTAAGAATAATTGTATTCAATTTGGCCACTCAGGATAAGGTGTGATTCAGGATCAGCTGGTTGGTACTCTGAAAAAAAAAAGAAAAAGGAAAAAGAAAGACATATTGCTCTGTGGACTGGTGAATATGTGCCATTAACTGGGAAAAAGTGGAAGAAACTTGTATTAACTGGAGGGAGATGGTTTGACTTCATTATTTTGTAGTGAGCCGGTTTACAGTTTATCCCTGCTATCTCTTTCTCTGTGATTTTTTCTTTTTTAATTAGGAAATGTGCCAAAAACTTAAAAAAAATCCATTTACTTATTTATGCTTTGCACAGGAATGAGAAAGCCTACCACTTTTAGCAAGCATGTGAACTAGAAAGGCAAGGGAACACAGGGTGAAATTTTATGTGGAGGCTTGTGTATAAGGAAGGGTAGCCATCAACATCCCTTGAATATTTCTTTTTTCTTCACAGCAGAGTTCATTGTGCTCCCTGAGTGCTGTAGGTGAAAACAAAGACAGTGCCACTACTAAATGAGTGCAGTTTCAAAGGCTGGCTGAGAAAAGAGAAAACAAACTATATGCAATTTAAATGCCTGTTTGTATGCAAGCTACCACACGGGCTAATACACACACCAGTGTGATGTAAGGCAGTGGAGATGACCTGATTAGCAAAACCCTTGCAACGAGCTGAGGAGATCCTTGCTGCACCAGTGTTCCCTCCTTGGGGACCTGCGACTACTCCCAGCCGAAGGAAACCTTTCCCCAGCTGCCAGGGGCGTTCTGAGAATGGCAGTGGCAGTGCTCCGTGTGTGTCCGGAGGTGAGGGAAGTGGGAAGAGTAAAGAGCCAGCACAGCCCCGTAGAACAGCTGGGATGTTGTGAAGGATGCAGCATGAATTGCTTGGGCTTTGTGAGCTCCGTTTGCAGGAGCTGCGGAGCGCTGTGTGTTTGGGAGGCTGTGCTTCAGCAAACAGCTCGCACCGTTTGGTCGTGCTGTTCATCCTGTTGCTTGAAAGCTGTCATTCAGTGCTAGGGCAAGATAAAGTAAGTGGTCTTCCCGTTTGAAGGCTCTTGCAGCCTTGCTCTCATGAGTGCCGAGCAGGCAGAGGTCCACGGCTGTGAATGGGAAGTCGTGGTGCTCAGCACTAACTGCAGTCAAGTGTTAATTATTCCAAGTCAGAGAAATAGAGACAGAAATCTATATACGTAAGAAGACACATAAGATCCAAGACTTTCTCTCTCTCCCGTGAGTACATATAAATATACACAACTGGTATGTGGGGTTTGGTTATTTTGTGCATTCCTGTGCCAGGAGAGTGTGCAAACTTGTGGCAGTGACCCGGGGTTTTGGGTGAGGAGCACAGGGCACTATTTCTGGCTCTGCTGTAGCTACTTGTGTGGCCGAGTGTATTAAGTCCTGCTCCTGAAGCCAGCAAACCATTTATCCGGGCTTCATTCTCAGACTTGCTGAATACCCCAAAAGGCTGCTATTATTGGAGAGAACTGCCATTCCTTAGCTCTCAAAGTGGGCTTTCCATAAATCAGCAGCACGGGCTTTCCATGGGGAGGTGGGTCTAGGACCTCAGCTTTCTCCCTGCCAGCCCACAGAGCTGCCCGAGCTCCTTCCCCTCTGCTCTTCCTCTCTTCTGCTCAGCTCTTCCACCAAAGGTGGTCAGGAGGCTGTTGCTGTGCCAGCCACCATACCTTGGGCTCGCCACCACCATGGGATGGCTTCCTGTCGCTTCTCCAGCTGCCATGGTGGGACAGGCCCCCTCATGCTCCCCATGGAAACAGGCTCCTCTTGACCTCTTTCTGCCCCTGGCCACCAAATGGGGCCAGGTCATGGTTGTTCTCTCAGTCTAGGCTGCTTTTTCCTTTTTTTTAAAACAATAAATGCATCTTTGTGGTGACAAAAATATTAATTATCTCCTATAAACGATGCACTCAAATATTTCGTTGTTGCAGACTGTTTGGATGGCGGTACCTGTGCTGACACAAGTCTGCTGTGATGTGATCCAGCAGTGTCCTTGCTGTGGATGGGCTTTGCCGTAATAGTGCTTTCATTCCTTAGCTCCCATTAGTGCCTTGATGAATAGTGGAAGATGTTTCAACAATTTTTTATGATTAAAAAGCAGCATCTTACCGTTGCTTGGTCTCTGGTGCCTTTACCCTGTTCATTATGCTTTGCCTGGGAGTAGCAACAGTGATTTAGAGTTGCAACATCAACATCAGTCTCTGAACCTTGTGTTTTCTGGGAAGGGGAAGAGAGAGGATGAGGGAGGAAGTCTAAGTAGTGGGGTTTTTTCTTCTGACATTTCCAGACTGGCTACTTGAAACTGTGATGCCTCACAGTGATTAGACACATTTATCATAACTCTGACATTGAGTTCCTGGACAAGAACCCCCTGACAACTTCTCTGGAGCACACCTGGACAGGGTTTAGAGACACCAGCCAGGCCCAGGGCACTCATTTGTGCTCCAGGTCCACTGCTGTCACTGGCACTCGTGCTAATGGCCTTAGTACAGAGGTCAAAGACTGCTTAGATATGAAGGCTGAATCACCTCCTTGTTAAACCCCTCAGCAGGATCAAGGCTTAGGGAAGCAAACACGTGGGCTTGCCTTCTGGCTGACACTGTGGATGGAGGCTGTGACTCTGAGATGGACCTTTTGGCAGGTTCGACCAACCGTTGAGGCATCAAAATGGGGGTGTCTGGTGATTAAAACACCCCTACACTGACACCCCTCTGTGAAAAAGCCTGGTATGTTCATTTCCTTTAAAGACTTGCTGATCCCACAAGCTCTTGGTGGTTAGAGGAGGTTTATCCTGTCACCTGAGGATCACAGAAATCAGCAGCAAGCCCGTCAATCTTACCAGGCAGATGTGAAAGATCTTCAGCTGCACACATTTCACTTGCAAATGTAAATAATCCAGCAGTGTAGGTCTCGCTGCAGCCCTGTTTGCCTTGGCAGTGTCCCATTGACGTGAATCAGAAGGTGGGAGCAAAAAGCACTGGAGGCTCATCCAGAGCCTGGTCTCCCCTCTGTCAGGGAACCTGTCCATGCAGGCAGGGTGATTTGGAGATTACTGGCACAACCCACAGGCCTGACTTTGCTGGGTCCCTGCATTTTGAACAATCCTGCCTTGTTTCCTCACCTTGTGCCTTTGGGAACCTGCCTCTTGGGGCACTGGGCAGGAGTGACCTGGAGGGAACAGCTGTGGCTATGTCCTTTGCTCCTGTGGCTTCGCTTCCTTGAGAGGAAGGGAACTCCTGTGTTTCAAGCTGAGAAGCAGGAGGTCAGTTCTTAAGCCTGCTGCATCTCTGCAACTTTTGGTAGGTCTCTGGATCACGCCATGCCTGAGTTTCTAAGCTGTAAAATAGGGATAGAAATGAGGAATTTTTTTAACAAAAATAAGGGCTTGAATAAATAAACAGCTGTAACTTGTGATGCTGTCACCACCACAAGGCTCTCATGTTGGTTTGAGCTTCAAGGCTTTCATTTAATACTGATAACAGTAAAAAAGTTTGGTATAATATTAGTGAAACTTAGAAAGTGTTTTTAATTTTAACGTGTTTTTAATTTTTATTTTTTTTTTAATTTCAGCAAATTCAGTAAAGCTAGAAATGCAAAGTGATGACGAATATGACAGGAAGCCCCTGAGTCACGAAGATGAGATCAGAGCTCACGATGAAGGAAGCAGCCTGGAAGAGCCCTTCATCGACAATAACGAGATGGTGGATAACAGAAAGATCCAGGAGCTCTCAAGCGAGGGAGGAATCCGGCTTCCCAATGGTAAACTGAAATGTGACGTCTGTGGCATGGTTTGCATTGGGCCCAATGTGCTAATGGTACATAAAAGGAGCCACACTGGTAAGCAGCTGAAAGAAAACCTGATGACTGCCTGTGGCGTCTGATGTTGATGTTACCTGACAACTCTTCTTCTTCCCTTTTCATTCTTGGGGTTCCAGGAGGCTGGGGGGTGGGAAATGGGCTTCATTGGTTTTGTTCTCTTCCTACTCCCCAAATTCTGGTGATGTTCTGTTTCTGGCAAGCATGGTGCTTCCTTGACTTTGATTTCCAGCCTTTTGTTCTTAAAAGCAGCACTAAAGTCTGGAAATTGCTTTTCTTATCGTTCTTGACCGGGGGCAAGATGGTGAGAGTCGTTCTGTGGCATGGAAGGGGTGTGTGTGTGTGCATGTGTGTGTGCATGTGCAAGACTTTTGAGCCTTTAAGGTGAGTCTTAGATGGCCTTCCCTTGGAGGTGCTCACGGGTGGTCAAGGCCAACAGCTTCCTGGGGATCTCCCACCTCCTTTGCAAGTGGCTGGGCCTGGGATTAGCAAAGCCCAGGGGGGGCACTCATTACTCACCTGTCCTGTTGCCAGGGTGGACTTGCTGCTCATTGTGTGACAGCTCCATCAGGGAAACCTCACCTGAACCCCTCCAGGGCTCTCCCACACCAGCCAGATACCATTCTGGGGGCAGCTTTCAACAGTTGCTCTCTCCCAGCATTTGTATTTTTATTACCATTAATATTACTACTGTTTGGAGACCAAAACAGCTGACCAGGCTTGGGGGTATGAGTTCAAGAGGTGGATGGAACCTTTGCAATGTGCTGATTGAGTGGTCTTTATGGCTTGAAAGATGAAGCCTTGAGCTTCAGGGAATTTTTGGGAGTTATGGCTAATATGATAAAATGGGATGCCAAAGAGGCTTGTAGTCTCTCCCCTCTGCTGAGGAGTGACCTCAGGTGGGAATGACAGTCACCTCCAACAGAAGTACAGGTGGTGCCAGAAGACAATGCTCTCTGATAGTGCCTTGGATTCAAAAAAGCACTTAAGCTTGTGCTTAACTTTTATGAGATTTAAGCACATGTAAGTCACCTGAACTGCTTCAATATAAGCTTAACTTAAGATACACACTTAAATCTTATTAAGTTTAAGCACAGGTTTTTGTGGTGGAGCCTCAGTGGGTGTTTGTTCTTCATATTCTTTGGACAAACTGAAAGATGCTTTGCTTTTTATCTTTGTCTACTATTATTTAATGGGGTCAGAGACTCACACTGACTGAGACATCTGCAGAGATATAAAAAGTGGGGGGTTAAGGTAGAGAAAGAAAAGACTTTGAGTAATTCCTTTGTAAACCTGGTAGATTGCAGTCAAGGCTGCTCTTGATGTGCAAGAAATCAATAGAATTTCTGTACAGAGAATTAATAAATATATATTATACAGTTAATGCCCTGTATATAAGTTGTATTGATAATAGCTTAACATAAGTGCATAATGCAAAGCATGGCGATATCATTTATGATGCAGTCCTGATTTTAGACAGGAGTCACGAGAGGGGAAAAGCATTAGCCAGAGAACCAAAACCTTGACTAACAATTTGACATGCTATTGCTAGGAAATGGAAAGGGAAACGAGAATGTAACAGGCTGAGTCCCCAGCTTTCAACCTCCCAAAAAGTTTTCGTTGGCGCTTGCACATATCGGAGCGTATGTATTGTAGGTGCATCAGAGTCCACGTATTTGAACTGCAGCAGCTAAACTAGCCCTGCCAAATTTAGATTTAGGTACCTAATTAAATGGTCTGCATTTTTTGAAATACTGAATAGCTAGTGACAAGCTGCCCTTTTCATGGTAAAGAAGACATGTAAATTCCAAGTGAATGGAACAAAATCTCATCTGCGTGAGGGCGAGGCGGCCGTATGGGGGTGCACGGGCAGGAATTGCATAACTGGTAGCTTTTTCCTTGGGGCTACTGCTGGTTCCTTGTAGAGCTCTGCCTCTTTTCCCATCAGAATGGGATGTACTGTTCTATACAGATGATTTCAAGCATATAGGAATGGCATTTCTTTTAATGTGCAGCTCAGTGCTCTGCTCTCAGCAAACCAGTTGGCAAATTTTGCAGGGGATTTTTTTTCCCCTCCACTTTGTTTGTTTTTTAATGCGTACTGCTGCTTCACTGTCCACAACAGAGGGAGAAGTTTTCTTGGATTTCCACATCCTTGATTTTAAGGAGTATTTTTAACACACTGGTATATATCTTTTAAAGTGCAGTATTTTAAAATATATTGCCACTTCCTCGGCAGCTGGGCTGGCCCTGGCTCTGGAATGAGCCCTGACCTGTGGGAAGGCTGGTTTTGCAGCCCAAGGGAGAACGGTGGAGGGAAGGGAGGTTGTCCCCAGTGAGTGGAAACGGATGACATTCTTCATCAGCTAATGCAACTGGCATGTGCATCCTTGCCTCTCAAAGCCAAGTTAAGTATGTTTTGGGAGCCGAGTCCTGCCTTACTCTCCTCTTTATTTGCACACAATCAAAGCATGGTCTGGCCAGTTGTTTGCATTGGCAAAAACTGAAGTCCTTTTCCCTTCCCCGAAAACCTGTCAGCATTCTATGTAAATCACCCAAAATCCTGTGGTCCATAGCGGAGGCTGTAATTTGTGTGTGTGCTGGGACGAGTGTGGCTTTCCTTGCACCAGGGATCCAGGCTTGGCAAGAAGCTGTGCCATATGGCTCTGGCTGCACTGTGCACATAAAGGGACACACTTTCCTCTAGCCAATGCTCATCTGTTCTTGAAGAGCAGTTGTCTTCCCTGCCACATTATGGTGGTTCAGTCAAACAGACATAGGGGTGGGGAAAATAATCTGTGCCGTGGATGAGACCAGAGTAGAAGAGCTCAGTGTCCCACCTCTGACTGTCATGTGCTGTTGCCCCTTCCTGTGATATAGACCCAGCTGGGAATTTCCCATTTATCCTGCCTCGTGCACGTGGTGCAAGCGATGCTCCGGTGCACGGCACTTCTGTCATGAAGCCCATGGCACTGCTCATCTGCTTCTGCCAAACACAACATTTCTCTGAAAAACTGATAAGAGAGGTGAAGAGTTTTTATTATCTTCATGGGCATCAGGAGAACACCTCTCTGTTTATCTGTCATTACTGACAGACAATAAATAAAATGCTCAGTGTGGGAATTAAGCATTATGCACTCCCTGTGTTAGTGAGCAGGGTAACCCCCTGCCTCATGTACCATGTCCTTGTATCAGACAAATAGCACGTGTCAGGTTTGGTTTATTTTCCTCCTTTCCCATGCTATGTTCTTTTGGTCCAAATTTCATATTCCACAGCACATTCCCCAAGTTGCAGCATCTTTAGCAGAGTTTTATGTTACAGGAGGTGGCTGGTCACATAATGTTGCCACTGGATACTCCAAGGGTTTTTGCTTAGGGATGTAGATGGAAAGGCAGAAGAAGATAAGGTCAATAATCCTAATTTTCTGAGGTAACAAAAAGGAATTTTAGTGATTTCTCACATTTTTATGCTGTCTGCTAGTGGGCCAGAATTGGAATTTCCTTGCTCCTCATTTTTGGTAAAGCAGAAACCATTTGCTGGTACAGCTATGCTGCTGCCTCTGTGATCTGCAAGGTCCACACAGTGTTCTCCCCTGCGCTGTGAATTTTGATCTTTCTTTATACTTCTTTTTCTCCACTGTAGTATTCAGTCCTTTATCTAATCCACTGCTGGATTTTGAAATACTTTTTATTTTTAAGGCAGGGCTGGGATCACAGAATCACAGTAAGGTTTGGGTTGGAAGGACATTAAGCTCATCTCGTTCCAACCCCCTGCCATGGGCAGGGACACCTTCCGCTATCCCAGGTTACTCCAAGCCCCATCCAACCTGGCCTTGAACATTTCCAGGGATGAGACATAGACAACTTCTCATCCTCATTGTTTTAAAAACACGCAGAAGTGAAACATTTCCTCTGTGTGGATGCAGCGGGTAAGCGGCAGAGTGAAGCTGGGTCCCTGGATACCTGGCAGGGCACAGAGCCAGCAGGGACGTCAGCCTTACCCCACCCTCACCTTGGGCTGCTGGTAGGTTATTTTTAGGCTTTTTTGGGGGGTGCTAGCTGCAGGAGGGTCTGAAATCTTTGCTTGGACTCAACATGCACTTTTAGTGCCTAAGTCAGCTAAATGAGTTACATTATGTGCCCGTGAGGGAAATCTTCAAGTTCTGTCGTAGTGTCCGCAGTGTTATAACTGAACATATGCAACCCTGGAAGTCTGAATGCAATTTGTTTTTTCATGCAGAGTTCAAGTTTGTGGGACACAATTAATAAATGAGGAAAAACCCAGCTGTGTTGTTCCGTAGTACAGACTTGTATGCCTAAAGCAGCTAACCAGGAACAAATTTAAACAAATGGCCATATTAACACATTGCAGTGAACTCCATTGGTCTACCTCTCTTATTTTGTTCACAGAAAGGTTATATTTGGTTTAATTTCTAATTTGTCACCTCGTGCAGGCTTCCTGTCTGTAGCAATGTGAATCGATTTGGCACTGAATCAAAAATCGTAGGGCTGAATTTCTGAAAGTCATATTTTCTGCTTAGGTTTTGAAATCTAACCTTTTGAAAAGCCTCATTTTCTACTTAAGCATAGGGAAGGGGAGCTGAAATTTTTGAAATCGCTCTCTGCAGAAGACCCTCTTTGCTTGCAGTACTCAGTAACTAAACTCTTCTGATATTTTTGCCAGTTCACTTAAAAGATTTTTCTGCTGTAAGAATGTGGTCATAAATTTGCACAGAGGACACTTGGAAATCACCCAGGATTTCCCAGGAATTTTTCATGAGAGATTTTGTCACTACTTTTTTATAATAAATTGCCCTATCTGGCAGCAGGTTTTTCCCAACAAAAAAACCCTACTAAAATCACTGATTTAAAGTGATGTGCAGCCTGTTAAGTGAATCAGGTAGAACAGTGAGTGGTCCCTGGAATAACAAATACAGGACAGGAATGGAGCAAAGTCCGCTGCTCTGTGTCTCACTTGGGTAAAGGCAGGTTGGAACTCGCTGCTGTCAGTGTGTTGGGAGCACAGGTGATATTTCATTTGTGCTCCTGGGACAGAGCAGAATCAGAGCAGTTGCAGCACCTGATGGATCAGGAGAAATGTTTCGCTTTAACTGAAATATTAACAAAAAGCATGCTACAGAAAGGTGAAAATCAATATTATTAGTAAGAGCAAATGCTTTCTGATGGCAGCACGGGCACTGTAATTTTACATTAAGAGACTGGAAAGAGAAAATCCTGCTTGAGAAGTACCTAAGCTACACTTTGCATATCAAAAGTATGTGCCGCACAAAAAAGACTGAGATCTCAGATATACATTTAGCCAGGACAGATACTGAAGTCCCACTGGACCTGGTTTTTATGTAGGACTGCTGCTTTAAGAATAACTAGGCCTTGATGATAATGAGAACTAGTGCAGTAATTCGTGAGTCTCTCCGTTTAATTTCAAAGGGACAAAAGTTACCAGTCAAGGGTTATGAAAATCTAAGTCTCCTTGGTTGCCAGGTCTATGGGCTCTGTGTCCTCAGTCAAATTTCTGTTTTGATACAGAAAACATTGCTGCTTTGCACCGAAAATATCAGTGTTTTGCACTGGTCTGAGATTCGAAGAAGGGTAACTCATACCGAAACTTCTGCGCAGCACTTCCGCGCCGAGGCGGGAAAGGAGTTATTGTGCAGGGAAGCTTCCAATTAAGCAGAAAAAGGAGTTGGTTTGCTTTTTGAAATAACATTTGACATATGTGAAATCAATTAGTAGGAATTTAACAGTTCATTTGCCTGGTTTCAGGTCTTATCAGTCTCGTAGCTTGTGCTGTGGAGTCTCCCACCAGATGCCATATATTTAAGATACTATGAAAGGCCCACGTCTTGCTTGCCCTGACTTCATGGGTCCAATTCACCTTTCATCTCACAATTTGTTTACACAACAGCAAGTTAACCTATGTACTTTAGATACTGGTGTAGCTCAAGAGTAGTAATATTTCATTAATATTATTCATTATTATTTTTCCTGGAGGAGACAATGAACTGTGAGGTTTCAGGAATGTTTTACTTAATTTAGAAGTAAATATTTGAAATCACAGCTTTTAATTAATATTTTGTTTAACTGTAAAATTATAAAACCCCATGGATGTATTTATTTATTAATGTAAATATTCCCTGGCACAAACTCCTCTTGCAAAGCCTTTAGGAAAGGTAATACTTGGCAGCTCTGGTTTACCTTGCCTAGCCCATTCCTGAAGTAACTTTAGATAATTAAATTCCCTGTGTTGGAGAGCAAGGCTTTTAAGGCATTCCTGGTTTTGTCCGGCTTTAGATTCTAAATCTGCAGTTGAAAAGAAATATCTTTTTTGTTTGGTTAACTGTTCCTCCCCCTCTCGCCACCCTGAAAGTCTTTTTTCCTGCCCCCCCTCTCTCTTTTTTTTCTTTTTTTTTTTTTAATCACTAAGGTTGGAGGCTTTTCTGCCCTGGTTTAGCTCAATAATAGAGAAATGTTTAATACTTAAAGTAGGCTAAAAATATTTTGCTGTTATGTTGCACTCACACTGTTTCTAGTGCTGCAAAGCAAAAAACTCGCTTAGTCACCTTTCAGTGGAGTTCTTATTTTAATAAATCCGTGTAAGTACATAGAGTCAAGCAGTAAATACATAGCTATAAATGGTGGGAAATGCACTGTGCTTATAGTCGTCCTTACCCTCTTGTAGTCGTGTGTGCCACCTTTAATAGGTCTATATTTTCTAGTGTGTCCCTGCTACCATCACCCTCAAAGACAGAAAAGCATTTTAAAAGCGGTCGGGGACTGTCACATAGAGAAAAAATGTGCTTAGAGACTTTTTGTGAGTGGATGTTTAATTTGAAGTATGACTGATTTTAGCTTATAAAACCCTTTAGTTTTCACAGAAGAGTAAGGGAGGTGAGTAAGGACATCAGGGCTGTTATTTTGTAACTAGGAAGTAATAATACTGAAGAACAGCTTACAAAGTTACCAGGAAAAGGCAGCAGGAGAAATAATTGGAAGGCAGTCTTCTCAAGGCATTGAAGTGATAAAGAAGGCTTGTTTGTTAGTGTCTGGAGTGGGCATCAGACAGCACAGTTCTTGGAAAACCAACAAAATCTTCTTGCTATTCAGTCTTTGCTTCTCTTTGTGCACTCTTCTATTGGATAATGGCCTCTCAGATTAGCTGTGCTAAATGTAAAAGCTGCTAATCAATAGCACGAAGGTGTGACCAAAATTGCATCCCACAAGCCTACAGCTTCAACAAGGAGCTGGAATCGAATGATTGGACAAAAGTGTAACAAACAGATCAAAGCAGCTATTTACCCGGAATGAAGCCAGTAGGAAAAATGAATTCATGCTGGCTTTAAATAGATACAAAGGTTATTTAAGGTAAAATGTGCTGTTGGAGTCTCTTGTGAGAGAGGAGCAGACTATGGGTGATTTTGTGGTGAGTGTTTTCATGTCATCTTGGCCACTGAACTGTGTTGCAGTGACTATTGAATTCCAGACCGAAGGCTTTCAACATCTCTCGAGCAGCCAGTTTATTGAGGAGTAATACGCGCTCATATGGGGCCTCCAAAATGTCAGAGAGAGGTGGGTGATGTAGCGGGTAAAACACAGTAACTGCATAGTTTTACATACAGCAGGAGTAAAAGACTTCAGACTTGATAAGAAACGTGCTACCTTCTTTCATGTTGTCATCCTGAAACTAAAGCTATCATTCCAGAATACTCAGAAACGTGTCAAAGGAAAGGGCTTTGCCTATTTTCTCAGACAGCGAAAGCAAAACAGAAAAGAAGAAAAAACCCATGTATTTTTCTACTGCTGTCTCTTTACATATCTCTGTTATGGACATTCTGAAGTGATATAAAAGAAGATAATGGCTAATCAGATCCTTTAAGTATAGTGTGGGAGTTTGAAAGGGAAACCACAAACTCTTTATCAATTCTAATGAGTTTGTGTTCAGTGTATTGGAAGAGGAGCTTTATACCGTGATTTTTTTTTTATCATTACTCTGTAATGTTCTTGATGAGATTGTAGGAACCTTGGTATCTTCTTGAGTGCTTCTTCAGTAGTCTCAGATATGATTTCCAGCTCCCACATGTGAAGTCAAGTTGCAGAGGTATGGCACATATGTGTCACACCTACCTTCTGCTGCCCACTTGGCAGTGATTTAAACCACTGAGGCAAGAATTGCTTGTGGACATCTGTAAAAGCACTTTTCCTTCCTCTCTTTCCATTTGAATCTCCAGACATATTTTGGACTTCACATTAGACACAAGAACTGCTTTGATGAAAGCATTTTGTCCAGCAAGGGAGTAATCATTTTAAAGCAATAGAGAAAGGCTTTGAAGAGATGTGAAAGATCACAGAATGTGTTTGTTTTTCACAAGATCTGTGCTTCAGGCCATTGAATTCAACCTCAGAAGTCCCACCAGGATTCGACCAAGGCTCTGTAATAGGTGATGCACTGAAAAAGTGGACAAGGTTACTTACATCTGAAATCTGATGTTCAAGACCTTGTTGAAATGGGACCCTGCTTGGTGTAAACATGCTTTAAATGGAAGAGAATAGATTTAAATTAGATATGAGGAAACAATCCTTCCCTGTGATGGTGGTGAGCCCCTGGCACAGGTTGCTCAGAGAAGCTACAGCTGCCCCATCCCTGGAAGTGTCCCAGACCAGCTTGGATGGGGCTCAGAGCAACCTGGTCTGGAGGAGGGTGTTCCTGCCCATGGCAGGGGGTTGGAACGAGATGATCTTTGAGGTCTTTTCCAACCCAAACCATTCAGTGATTCTGTGTTCTAAAGCCCAGCTGCAGTAAAGCACTTGGGCAAGTGGCAGCACAAGTATATGCTTGTATTCAATTGATTTGCTCAACAGGACATAAACAGATGATTAGAGCTGCCCAAGAATGCTGGAACAGTCTGAGTGTCCTCAACAAATGTTGACATAGAGTACGATTTTAATAATATTTCACAAAACCTGTGTGAGTTTGTCAGGGGTTTTCCTCTAAAAAATAATTACCAAAAAAAAAAAAGTGGTTTTTGTCTGCCCAATCCCCACTGTCTAGAGCAAACATGAAGATTTAACATAAAAATAAGCTTTGGATGTGTGTGTGTGCGCATGTGTAAACACATGGGGTGAAGGGAGAGGGCAAGGTCTAGAGTTTCTGTTATTTTTTCATCAACTGAGTCTTTTTAATTTGTTTTATGTAGAGTGCAAACTTGCTTGTTTCACAGTTTAATGGTGAAAGATTTTTCTCAATGTTTGCTTCTGCCCAAAGCTTGAGGGCCTGATCCTCACTTGTATCGATTCCCTTCGTGCCACTCTAGCAGTGCAAAACAGCCTTTAGAAAGGACTTTCAATTAAAGTATAATGCAAGCAAGAGCTTTGTTTTGAAGCAAAGACCTTAACACCTTCGCTAAGGTCCAATTGTTATGATCAGTTCCAAATACTCATATGGATTGGACCTATACTGAAAATAAGTGCAAACCCATAGAGATAAATACTACAAAATCTCAATTACGGATCTAAATTTTCAGCAGAGCTCATCTTTTATAAAGGATAGAACCTCTGAGGTGAGGAACTTTCAAGAAAATCAGCCTGCACTGATCACCTCAAGTAAAGATCTTCAGATCCCTATTGGAGGTTTTGCCCATTGTGCAAAAGAAATGGCCTCTGACTGTAGCAAGTGCCGTGTGATGGTGGCAGTGGGGACTGTACCCATGTAAGAAGGCACTACTACAAAGAGCAGGATAATGGCCTCTGTGCATCCTCTGATGTGTCTTGACAGCTCTCTCCCTTCCCCTTCCCTTCCAGGTGAACGCCCCTTCCACTGTAACCAATGTGGAGCTTCTTTTACCCAGAAGGGGAACCTGCTGAGGCACATCAAGTTGCACTCTGGGGAGAAACCGTTCAAATGTCCCTTCTGCAGCTACGCCTGCCGGCGGAGGGACGCCCTCACAGGACACCTCAGGACGCACTCTGGTGAGCCCACCTTGGCTTCTCTTCCCAATTCTTCCTTCCTTTGTCACTACCGTCCCAGTGAAGCAGGTAGTGAAAATAACCGTGTGTTCCTGGTGGCTCTGGGTCTGTACCATCCTCCTCAGATAGTGCAGCTCTCCACTTTGGGAAAGCCTTGATGTGAATCAGAAAAGTTGTGGTTCAGCCACACCTCTCCTTTTGTGTAACTGAGCTCCTCTGCTGATGCTATCACATTTCCCTCTGAATGTCTCCTTGGGTGTATCCAGGCTCCGCTGGCAGATTGTTTTGACCCTCTAGGCCCCAAAGTGGCTGTGAAATTCCAAGGATCAGAAAGGATAACTGTGGGCTCTTGGAAGCCTGCTTTGCAGTTCATACCCATTTCTTCATCTAATAAATGCCATATGCTGGTGGAGGTCAAACTTGTTCATCTTTCAAAAATGTCTGAACTGCATTTTTGACTCAGTTACTTCTTGCTGTAGAGTCCAAATTCGTGGCAGCCGCAGCAGCCACCCTAGAGCAGAAGGTGGTCGAGAGAGATTCGATTTCTCTTGCCTCGTTCGGTGATAGTATCTTGTCTCTATCAAGTCTACTTGATACAGTTGCTTGATATGTTGCAGAGAAATATGCACCACATAACTGCACTCTGGTAGTCACGTTGGAGCTCCCGTGATCAGGATCAGATGTGGTTTTAGTCCCTGTGCACCAAGGGGCTGCAGTCTGCCCACTTACTCATCTGTGTAGGACTCCTGAGTAAGATCTTAACTTGCAGCGCTTTTTATCTCCTAGAATGTTCAACTCGTGTGTTCAGGCCATTTATAAGGGGCTGTGTTTTTCATTGTAGAATGAGAAGAGATAATTGAACTGGTTACAAGTGGCAGCATTACAGATGAACTTCTTTGAGTTGTTAGCGAATGTGTGACTGCTGAAACAGAGTGGCTGAAGTGTGGCTGCAGGAGGAAATCCTGCATGAGCTTCCTGACTCCTCCTGTGTATTTCTCCTGCAGGGTCAACCTCACTTCATTAGAAGTTTCTGTTTTATGAGCATTAAGTTGGACTTAAGATACAGAGTTGCCTTGGCATTTCCAAGAATAGGAAAGGATAAGCTAGTAAGCTTCTCCAGGTAAACTGGGGAGTATGCAGGAGGCTGTATTGGTGGAAAGTGCTTACAGAAAGCATGAGCATCCAAGGGAGTGCAGGTGTGGGAGAGAATTGCTTCAGTTGTCAGCTGAGAGGATTTGATCTGGAAGTCAGAAGGGAAAATGTCTGTGGAAGTGTGAGGCGCAATTTTCACGCATCTGACCATAATTGTAGTTTCAACTTGAAATTTAATAAAAACCAAAGCACGATAAAAATGTTCACAATGAAAATTAAAATGGAGTTGTGACAAGAAGTATCCCACATTACAAAAAGCAAACATTGCAGTTGAAGATTTTTTTCATCATATGAATATGGGTTTTGTTACCTAGATAGTGCCACTAATAGACATTGTTCTTCCTGTATGAAAAGCACATGGCTGATGGCTCTACTTTTTTGCGTGAGGATGAAATGTAGAGGTGTGGGATTTTCCGAAGGCACCTAAGCTGCTTAGCACTTGAGTTCCGCTGGAGCTCCTTCCCTAAGTGACTTAGCTCGCTGACTTAGCTGTGTTCAGCACTGCTCAGTTTGTGATTTTATGCTTTGTTTTCCGTGGAGAAAGTGTCACCCCCTAAGCACTTAGCTACAGCAGCTTTCAGCAGAAGGCCAGCCGGAACAGACAAGTGTTCCCAAAATACTCTCCAAGAGTATTGCTCACAGATGAAGAGTTAAAACTTGGATTATTACCCTAAAACCTAAATTCTACATGGAAGTGAAATGCCACTCTGGATGTGAGCATGGTGCCTTTCTGTCCCTGCCATGCAGACAAGCTGAGTTGGCTTATGCACACCTATGTGAGCCTGGATCATGGAAAAGATGGGTAGGTGTTCCCTAGAGACTTAAAACAGTTTCATATCAGTATACTATAAGAGCACTCTCTGCTTTAATAAAGCACACATCAAGGTCTGTAAGTAGACCTGGAAGGTACAGCAGATCTAGTAACTGCATCCAAGGTCTTTTCCAACCCAAATAATTCTATGATTCTGTCAATGTTTACATCTTCTGCTACTTCTGATCAGAAAAGGAGATATTAGATAAAGTATAGAATGAAGAGGTTAAAAACTGTTTTAAATATAAGACTTCAATCAGATCTCATTCCTAATGTCTAAATTGAGGTGTCTGAATATATTTTTATATTTGTAAGAGGAGAGCTGATCCTCAGCTGATATAGGCTGGAATTATATCCTCCAAGCAGGAAAGTACTTCTGTTTTGCACCAGTTGAGAATCTGGCACGTATCATCATAAATGCAAGACCAATTTCTTTTTTGTTATGTTGTACGTATGTCCTTTTCCTCTTTAAATAGGAGAGTGCTCTTAATAAAAAAAAATAAAACAACTCCCTGAAAAACCAAACAAAAACCTCACCAAAGCAAAACTCTTTTCTCCTTCCCAAGAAGGTCTTAAACTACTGTGGAAGGCAAATTGTGCAAGAAAGGAACTGAAGAATTTTGTTAGATCCTCTTTTTTTCTCTCAGCTAGTTTGATTTGTGGATTTTAGAACATTTTGTGTCACCACTCAAGTCAGTGGCACCCTCTCACTACTGCCAGTGTAGTCAGTTTTTCCTCTTCTTAATGCAGAGTTTTCATATAGTACAACAGGAAAGGTGAAAAAATAAGGAAATGTAATTGCAAACAGAAATTAGCAGAAGCATCTCTGAGATATCTCAAATAGCTGATACTACCCATTAGCTTTAAAAAAAAAGATAGCTTTTTTTGTTGTTGCTTTGGGTGAATGTTTTGTTCATGCTTTTTAATATTAATTCCTATTTATTTGAAAATGTTTCTAAGCATCACAATCTATATTTTGCCTCCCCTTCTCGTGCAGAATAATATCTTACTGAGTAAGTGTTCCCAGGATGAGTGGTTAACAAAATAATGCTCTGCATCTGTAATGCTGCTGCTGTTTAACCCTAAATAATTAAGGACTTATCTTGCAGTGATTTACTCCTGCAATTATTTACCTTTTACAGACATATGGAGTTCTGATGAACTTTGTGTCTGTATTTTCCTCCCACATGCAGCTGCTTTGATTTCAGGAGTATAATGATGCCTTCAGGACATAGTAGGATAATGCCTGGGGAGAGATTCATGCTCAGAATTACACTAAGAGTGAGCATGAACCTCAAGGTACTTACAGGACTTTCAGATGTTGTTTTCAGAATTAACTCCATAGTTCCACAACACAGATAACAGAGGAGAGGTGCCTGAGAGAGCTTCCAGGACAGGAATGTAAGGACAGGCTGTGGAGAGCTGGGGCAGAAGTTGGTAGTCCCCTCCCACAGGATGCACTGGAAAATCCAGCGGGGATTGGCTTCACCTTGCCTGGCTTTTGCTGTTTTTAAAGTAGAAAACATCCAGACAAATCCAATGTGCTGATGGCAGTCACAGAGTACCTGCTGTCTCACCCTGAGATGTGCCTGTCTTCTCCATCCTCGCTGGAATTACACAAGACAAAGGCAGATACAAACTAGATGAGACAAATTCTGCTTTAGGCAATTAATGAGCATACCTCAGAAGTTTTGAGGGAGACAGTTGATCTGACAGGTCAGTCTGATGGTTAAAGCACCCACATAGACCTCCATACTTTGAGAGATATGAACTCCAGCCTGATGCTGTTTTACCCCCAAAAACCAGGCATCCTCAAATGGGCACATAAAATTAGCAGTGAGGTTTTGACATGGATTTCTCTTGTGTCTAAAGCAAAGCCAAGTCAGCTCTCCCCCCATAATGCTGTTGTAAACATGAACAAGGCTTTGACAGTACTTGAAAAAGTCAAGGCTGCAGTAATGAGCAAATCTGGAAGAGCGCAGAGCAAATATGAGTGCAGTAGTTTTCAGACAGGGCTTGGGCAGTAAGTGGTAAATGAAGGATGGGGTCACTTGGTAAGGGGAAAAAACCTCCACAGAATAGGTTTTGATTAAGCAAGAACTATCCATCCATTGCACTAAGCAAGGATGGTCCTGTGGGCAAATCGTTTTGTCATTAAAAGACAGTCTTGTCATGTGTACACACAAAATGGCCACATGAACCTTAAATCTGGAATTTCCTGGTTTTCCTTTATGACCTTGGTAGCTTCAGTCATGTTTCATTACTGTGGGAGTATGTAAGTGTTATTCATATATAAAAGCAGTTTTACTGTTTATTTCTTTCTAAAAAAATGGGTAACCAGATCATTATTTTTTCCTGTCACAGAAGCTTTTCCTCACAATACATTTTAAAATTTGCTTTCAAGCTACTTCTTTCCTGCCTAGAAAATGCTTTTTTCTACCCCCTTTTTTCCCTCCCCTCTTCATCCTGCATTGCTGCTGCACAGTTGTTTGCTGCTGCCCAGTTCTTCAACAGCACTGAGCTGTAGTACCACTTTATTGGCAAAAGAAAAGCAGAAAGCATTTGTTTTGAAAAGAAAAGCTCAGGCAAAAACTCCCAAAAGCACAATCTTAGCAAACTATGTACAGCGTGCAAGATAAAAGGCATGTCTAATTAGAAAGGAGAATGCCCTGTTCATGGAAACTCTTTCCATGTTTCTTGATTTGCAAGTCCATCTTTCTTATCTCTTCTTGTCCATAAGGACTTTCCTCCCAGCCCTTCCTGGGTGGCAATGAGCCATTCGAGGTGTCCCACACACCTGCAGTTGTATGGCAGAACAGGAGAGAGGTGTCTGTGTGTGCAGATGTTCTCAGAGCTAGAAGGAACCTGTTTCCTAACCCTGATGACATGCCTGCCTCAATACATGTTTGGGAGAGTCATCCCACCTGTGAGTGGCTCAGCCTGGCTGAAAAATTGGATGAACAAGTGTCAGAATACACAATGCTGTGTGTGAATTCCTGGCTGTAAAAAAACAGTGAGAGTTACTGAAACAGTGGCAAGG